TGTCCTCCCATTCACAGTCGGCCAGTGTATCTGTGAAGCCATTTAGTTATTAGCACTTATACAAGAGTATTTCATAAAAATCAGCTGATAAATAATGCTATTGTTTTCTCAACTGAGTCTGACATTCAAACTAAAGGTTTTTTTAAAAAAATATTCTTATTATTTTTATTTTATGTGTATGTGTGTATTGCCTGCATGTAAGTAAGTGCACCTATGTCCTGCAATGCCCACAGAGGTCAGAAGAGGCTGTCGGATCCCCTGGAACTGGAGTTATGGACAGTTGTTAGCTGCCATGTGGGTGCTGGGATTCAAACCCGAGTCTTCTGCAAGAACAGCCAGTGTTCTTAACCACTGAGCCATCTCCAGTCCCCACGCACACCTTTTTAGGCCAAAACCCTCTGAGTATTGTCTCCCCTGTGATGCATGGCCTAACCTGTTTTTTAACCTGCTCTCCAGTCCCTGCAGAAACTGTCCTTATCACACCCCACTGTCCTGCGCTAGCTGTCAGTCTCCCCTCCAAATCCCTAGGGCTTCAGTACAGTAAGATGAAAGCATTTTTGTGCCCTGCTGCGTTCCTACATAGGCCATCCCTGTGGGTCCCTAGCCTTACCTCCTGCTCATCGTCTGACTCAACCTCATACTCACCTTGCTGAGCTGGATCTCCATGAGGACCTGGTGCTGTCGCCCACTTCCACCCTGGGTGCGCCAGGAATTCTGGGGACGGTTTGGGCCAGAGGAGCGGGAAGGGGAGCCCCTGGGGCCTGCGAAGCTCACTTTTGCTCTAAGAAAAGGCACAGGAGGGACAAGTTAACTCAGGAAAGTCTGCCCTCTACAGCCTCAGCACAGAACTTTCAGCGTGGGGCAAGAGACCCTTATCAGTCTCAAGCCAGAGCAAGGAAGGAAAAACTGAGGCAGGGGGTAGGGGGTTGTGTGGTACATGGGGCTTGAGGTTGCCACAGCCGGGCTGAGCCCAGGTCCCAATCATACCAGCTGCCAAGAATACCCCCTCACCTGTGGCCAGGGTGGGGACCAAAGTCTCGGCCCCCATAGAGGTGCCAGATGAGGGAGACCTCCCGCAGCACCACGCGGCTGCTGGGCACTGGGAAGTGTGCAGGTGCCCGCAGAAGGTCTGTGCTGCCCAGTGGCCGGGAAAAGTGTCCATCCTGTATGATGATGGGGCCTGGATGCAGCTGCGTCACAACAGGCTCCCCGTCTCGGGGCTACCAGGAAGAAACCAAGAAAAAAAAAATGTGTGACACAGAGGCCATGCCCTGCCCAGACCTCAACCCCAGCATCTGTGCTTAAGTTTCCCTCTCTTCCTTCATTTTTGATAAATTGAAAAAAAAAAAAAAAGGCCCTCTTGGGCTGATATGCCAGAGCCTGTGTCTGAGTGGCTAGTCCAGGAGGGGTCTCCTGTCCTGCTGGCCCTGCCACCCTGGGACCTCAGTGAGCCTGGACAGTCCACTGGGCCTTGCAGTTACATACATGGTCCTCTCTTCCTATCTCCTAGAATGTTCTACTCTCTGCATAGGACATTAGTCCTCTTCTTCTGGAACATTCCACCTGTTCCTTTATGCTTGGAGTCAAGACTGCCTCCTTGCTTCTATTACATAGGAGTTCTAGAAGAGCTGAGCAACCCCAGCATCCAGAAACACTCTCCCAAACACCACACACCGGGATGCCTAGGCCAGGAGCATCAAGGATGCAGAACTCATCACTATCCAGGGTGTCTCCATCCCCTTCCTCTTCTTTATTTTCCTTTGCCTCAGAGAAGGACCCCAAGGTGCCAGAGGGGCTCCCAGGAGGGCGTGAAGGGGCCTGGGCCCCACTCCGTTCACCTGGGAACAGGTAGACCGAGACTGGAGAAGCCTGAGGGAAGAGGCCACCTACAGGAGAAAGAGGTCAGTGTAGGGAAATATTGCTGATGGTGCCTGCATGGGTCTGCGGACCCTAGAGTGCCCCCACCCCACCTGAGGACTGGGCCAGCTCCCGCAGGCTGCGCTCTGTGTCCAGGAGGGCATCAGTCAGATCCCGCTGGTTGATGAGGGCTGTCTCCACCGGAGGGCACGAGGGCAGGGAGGCAGGACTGTCGGAAAGCTGGGGCAGGCCGGGGAGGGTGCATGGGTAAGCACCAGGAGAGAGGGTGGCCTCCAGGACTCCCCCAGCCCAGCCCAGGAACTGAGGTTGTGCGGAGGAAGGGGCCTGGCCCAAGCTCTGGGTAGCCTGCGTGGCCAGGCCTCACCTGTACCTTCTGGCCGGCGATCTCCGTGGGACTGGGGGGCCGGGGTGGGGGATGCAGGTCACCAGCGTTGGTTACATACTGGAGCAGGTTGGCCAGTAGGGCGCAGGAGTCAGCACAGCTGTGCACGTGAACCACATTGTTGGAGCAGCGCAGCTCAAACAGTGGCTGGCTCTGTTGGTAGGCAGGCCATGACATCACACAGGAGTCACCCCAGCAAGCAAGGCATATCTTCCCATCTGGCCAACAAGGGCAGTACCTCACTGCCCAAATAGGCAGACAGCCCAGAAATGACTGGGGCCTGGCTCAGGGGAACCCTTGGGGGCAACAGTATACCCATCCACCCACTTCTGCACCCTGAGAAGTCTCCCCGCCCAACTTCAGCCTGGGGATTCAATGACTGTTATCTCACTGTACAGATAAGGAAATGGGGACCCAAAGTGGGTACCTATTTCCCCAGGCTTCTGCCTACTTTCAGGTGCCCTCTGATGGCAGGGCCGAAACCCCTCTCTGATTTACTTAGTGAATGAGTGGGGAGGGACACCCATGGGGCCTGGCCCTTCTGGGAAGAGCACCATGAGCAGCCTAGCTAGGTAAGGGTAGCCACCGGGGCCCTCTGAAGACTCCCTCAAACCTAGTGCTGGTTACACTCACCAGTTTGCCCTCAGTGCTCCCTTTCCAGGTTTTGATCACAAGTTCCAGGAGGTCAACGTCCAGGACACAGATATAATCTGAGGTAGAGGGTAAAGAAAGTTTCCCTTGATCTCCTCCATCAACTGTGAAGAATCCAGTATGTCTACCCAGCTCTGTGTGTGTGTGTGTGTTTGTGTAGCTGAGAACAGGACAGAGGCCAGGTGACACCTAGCTGTTCTGAGTGTGACAGGGACTTGTTCCCTCAGAATGGAGTGGGGGAGCAATTCAGGCCCTGCCCACCTCGCCGCAGATCCAGGGTCTCCATCTCACACTTGTCGGACAGGTACAAGGCAGAGTCGTCAAGGATGAACCTGGTGGGGAACAGGGCTGAGAAGGGCCCAGGAGCCACTGCAGGTGGCAGTTCAGCAGCAGCTGGGCAATGGGGTAGGTGGGGTCCTGGAGACGATGGGCAGAGGGGTCTGAGCCTCTAAGGTACTACAGAGATGGGACTTTGCCAAGCCTCAGTGCTGCCAGCAGGATGGACAGAGTGGGCCTGGACTCCCCCGTGGAAGGCCAGGCAGGCATTCACTCCTGTGGCACAGCACATAGGTGCTCAAAGGACCAGCTCTACCACGCCACCTGGGTTTCCCAGTACAGCCAGCCACGTGTCCCCCCATCCATCACCCATCCATCAATTTCCCCTCCACCAGCACTAGGAATTGAGCATAAGACCTTGCCCATGTTAGGTACATGTATCCTGTACCACCAGTATCACCTTTTAAATTATTTATTCATTTTCAAATAAAATATTTCTTTTATTTTTAATTTTATGTATATGAGTGTATTAACTGCATATATGTTAAGTGCTCTCTTGTCATGTAGTGCCTGCTGAGATCAGAAGTGGGTGTCAGATCCCTTTGGAACTGAAGGTGCAGACTGACGATTGTCAGCTACCCTGTGGTGCTGGGAACCGAACCCAGGTCCTCTGCAAGAGCAACCAGTGCTCTTAACTGCTGCCTCTCCAGACCCCCACTTCTTAAATTTTTAATTATTTTCTTTTTAAAAAATATTTTTATTTTATGTGCATGTGTGTATTGCCTGCATGTAGGTAAGTGCACCCATGTTGTGCAATTCTCATGGAGGTCAGAAGAGGCTGTCAGATCCCCTGGAACTGGAGTTATGGACAGTTGTTAGCTGCCATGTGGGTGCTGGGATTTGAACCTGGGTCTTCTGCAAGAACAGTCAGGGTTCTTAACCACTGAGCCATCTCTCCAGCCCCCAATTTTTAATTATTTCTTTGTTGATTTTTGTTGTTAAGTTTTTAATTATTTTAAAAAATGTTGAGATTAGGTCTGTGCCTTCAATGCCTGTAGCTGATGACAATGACTGTGAGGTCTTGGTCCTTCTACTTTTACCTTCAAGTGCTGGAATCACACGTTTGTGTCACCATGCCCACTCAGAGTATTTTTAAAATATGTAGGGAGCTGGGCATGGTGGCGCATGCCTTTAATCCCAATCTCGGGAGGCAGAGGCAGGTGGATCTCTGTGAGTTCAAGACCAGCCTGGTCTACATAGTGAGTTCCAGGACAGCTGGGGCTACAGGGAGACCCTGTCTCAAAAAGACTCCCCCCAGAAAAATAAAATAAAAAAAGTAGGGCTAGTGATGTAGCTTAGTTGGTAGAGTGCTTGCCTCATATGCATGAGGCTCTGGGTTAGATGCCTAGCACCACCAAGAAAATAATATAAGTTAAGTTTTTTAATCATTTTTCTCAGTAAATACTGTACCACAGCTCTTTCCTTCTTTCTGATGCCTGCACAGAGCTGCACCCCAGCCTGGACTGTGTTCAGCCAGATGAAAGAGGCATTGCATTCCATCCTTTTTATGTTTTTATATGCATGGTGGAACCCCAGGAGTGAGATTATCAAATCTGAGAGCACTAAAAACTGATTTGGGCTGGGCGTGGTGGCGCATGCCTTTAATCCCAGCACTCAGGAGACAGAGGCAGGCATATCTCTGTGAGTTCAAGGCCAGCCTGGTCTACATAGTGAGTTCCAGGACAGCTGGGGCTACAGGGAGACCCTGTCTCAAAAAGACAAAAAAAAACCAAAACCAAAACCAAAAAAAAACCTGATTTGGGGCAGGGGACAGCTCCACTCCAGGCATGTGGAAAAAGCTCATGTTCCTGAGGCCATATGTGAGAAAAAGGGGCGTACCATCACTGCCCCCTCCCCCGCCAGCTCTGGGAAGGCCCTTGAAAGACACAGCAGGCAGGCAGCTGTAGCCTGGCTGGGGGTGGGATGGACAAGGCCTAGGGGCAGCCGGCATACCTGAGCAGGAAGGTGGACGTGTCCATGACGATGTTGCTGGAGAGGGTGAAGGTCTCTGCAGTGATGAGGACACGTACAGGGAGGTAGAGGGGCCTGAGGGACAGACTTGGGCTCCAGCACGCTACTTACCCGATGCCCACCCCTGACCCTGCCTCCCCTCCAGTCGTCTAGCCTAAGTACCTGTAATCCACAGCACAGGAGAACAGGTGTGTGTGTAGAATGGTGATGACTGTTGGGGGCAGGTAGCCCAGCACAGGGTCATCCAGGACATCTAAGAAGTCCAACAGCTTTGGAGACCAGGATAGGGGGTGGGGGGACAATAGTGAGGATGAAGTGGCCACCTCCTCAAACACCTTCCTGTCCAGCCCTGGCCCAACATCCCTCCTGCTGCCCATCAGCTGTCCATCACGCCCCTTGCCAGGTGCTCTGGCCAACATCAGCTCCAGTCCAGCCTCATGTCTTCACACTGGCCCCCTCAGTCTGTGTCTCACTTGTCTGCCTGAATCAGAAATCCAGCCACCTGAGCTTACCTGGGAATGCCAGCTCTGTTCTGGTAGGGCCATGTAGTGGCGGAGAGTGGCTCTGTGCAGCCGTATCGTCACCAAGAACTCCTGAAGGAGGGAGTGTGGTCAGTCCGAGGGCAGGGAGCAAATACCCTGGCGTGCACCGGTTAGGCAGTTGTCTAGCCGAGAATGTGGATGGCCAGGAGGAAGACTTACCTTGACATTCTTGTGAGGGTCCAGATGGATGCGGACAGCTGCAGACAACATGGGGGGGCCTTGGCCCTTACGGCCCATTGTTCCCCGCTCAGTCATCCCTTCCTCTGATGGGTAGATGGTTGGAGCCAGCTGGGCCGGGGGAGTAAAGCTGGGCACTTCCAGGTGAGTAGGCAGTGGGTGGTCATCTACGGCCGCTGAGGAGGGATCTCATGAGTCCTGTTGACCACCTGCCTACTCCATTCATGGCCATGGCCTTCCTGAAAGCTCCCCAATCCAGCCCTCATACCTCGGTGGTAGAGTGTTGCCTTTTCAGCTTCCAGGCAGAAGTAGGCAAGTCCTGGCTGGCCACAGTACTGGGACACACTGAAGATAGTGCCCTGTTCCACGTCCAGCACCAACTCCCCATGTGCGACATCCAGGCGCCTCCCAGTCTCATCCTGCAGGTGGGCACATGCCAGGCTTCAGGGCTGCACCTAGCAGCCCAGACACCTGGGGACAGGTGTCTCTTGGGACCCTAGCCTGAGTCAGCTCTGGTTCTTAGCTGACTCCTAGCAGGAAATGCCTCTTGCTAAAGGGGAAAGTTGATCTTTTGGCCTTGGGACCCAATGATGAGTGTTCTGCCACTCGACATGGTGCTTCCCATGGAAAAAGGGCTGGGAAGTGGCTGATGGGTGTAATAGAGTAGGTGGGTTGCACGGGTAGGGGCTGGAGTGCGGGGATGGGTGCTGCTGCCTGGGGCATTCTGCCTCCTCCATTCCCAACTCAGAGCTAGCAGGCTTGTTTGGCTCTAGCAGTAAGTAAGAGGGCTCTGGACAGGGGGGTTCACCTGCTCCTGACTGTCTCACCTTAGCCTCACAGAATCCTGTGATCCGACCCTTCAGCACTGTCACCAGCGTAGAGAAGGTGCTTTGAGACTGACGGCTCGAAGGTTCAGGGGCAGGAGTCTTGGGGACACCCGATGCCATTGAGAAGAATTGGGTGTCCTCTTCATCAGAGTCTGAGTCTAAGGTGGAACAAGTTGGCTGGGTGGGAAGGGGTCATGGAGGGCTGGCTCAACCCTGGCCACTCCTGGAATTCTCCCTCCCAGCCAGCCAGCACTTCCTCGTACCTAGCTTGAAGGCTGACTTGCACATCTTGAACCCTGACAAGCCTGGGAGGCAAGGGGGCCGAGCAGTGTGGGTGGGCATGGGAAGCAGGCCTGCAGGCTCCCACATGAGCAGATCATTGTTGATCCTGACATGATACAGCAGATAGTGGAGGTGAGGGAGGAGAAGGCCCCATGCCTTGCCCAGTCCTGCCAGCCCTGCATCTCTACCTGTTGTAGATGCTTTCATAGACTTCCTTGCTAGGCAGGAAGATGTGGGCGCTGGGCAGGGTCACATCCAGCGTACAGTGGGACAGTGCCAGCGTCCGGCTCTGGAATGTCCTCATCTCCTCAGGGTCTCCAGGGATCACCATCTGAACAGGTGACGAGGGGGAAAGAAGTGCAACGTCAGCATGCTTGGGCTATCTTGGTTCCAGAATGAAAGGCTCTGGGCTGTTTGTCCACCGGTCCATCCATCCACCCATTCATCAGAAACCCTTCTCTGCTCATTGCTCATCCAGAACACAGTGCTCAGGTATGCTACCCTGGCTCCCCAGGAGGAAACTCACGGTCACCTCCCCGAGGCAATGGAGCCAGTAGGGGTAGCAGAGCCTGCCTAAGAACCCTGGCGATCTGACTCCTCCACAGCCAGCTAGCTGGGAACTGGGGCTCAGCCAGCTCCAGGCACTTAACTGCCTGACATTCAGGACTCATCAGCTTCAGAGAAAAGGATCCTGAGGTCCAAGAGTACCACTGCTGTTAGACAGCCGAAGTGGCCAGGGTCCTCATCTTGGTGACTGGGAGGCCTCTGCTCAGCAATGTGCTTCCCTCCCCGACCCTGGGCAGGCACGGATGCTTCAGATTCCCTTGTTAGTCAGGAAACAAGATCCTCCAGTAGTGTTGGGTCATATCATGTGCACCCAGGTGGTCACCTCGCTAGGCCCAGGCCCAGAGGTGGCAGCCATGGTAGAGAGCAGGTGTCAGGCCTCACCTCCTCGGTCTCATACATGGTCCTCTTGGAGGAGAAGGGTGAGGGCTCAGGCTGTCGCAGCTCACATGGACTCTCAGTGGACAGTTCTAGATCTTCGAACTTGTCAGCGGCAGCCTCCCATTGTGTGCTACTGAACTGGGGGTTCAGGGTCACCACTACCCTGCCAAAACACAGGTCTATTGGTGCCTGCAGGGCTCCTGGCACCTGAGCCCAGGCTGGCCTCCTGCCACCATCAGCAGCAGAGCCCTGCGTCTCTAGCTGTACCCCCCAACACCCCACTTACTGCGGAAGGAAGCACTTGCCCCCAGTGTTCCTGGGGTCTGGAGCTTTGGAGACTCGTAGGCAGGGGACAGGTGGCTTCTCTCCATCTTCATAGGTTCCTGGAGAGGACAGAGGGAACAGGGTCTCACTACTGCCTCTTCTCTTTTTTTCCCTGTTTCAGGGTTAAGTTGGTGCCCCTGGTCTAGTGTCCCAGAGATAGACAGTCCATTCATATTCTCTATAAGAGGATAAAGGCTTGTACTGTGCTCTGTTCCAACTGTGACCCAAACTCTTCTGTAATCTCAAGCCCACTTCTCCCAGAGGACCAGGCCTCTTCCCCCACCTATCCCCGGATGCTCTTACCATGAAGGTCACAGCAGGTGAGTTCCAGGCGCGTGGGAGCTGGGGGTCCAGGCCCACTGTTAAGCTCTGAGCGGAACTGGGGCTCAGCCAGCTCCAGCCGCAGCTGCTCAGCCCGCACAGCCCGGCCAGCCCAAGGGTCCCGCTCAGGACGCAGATCTGGGATGGGGAAGCGCAGCCTCAGCGTGGCCTGGGGTGCTGAGAGCCGAAACACTGAATGCTGCTCGGTGGCCTGCGGGGGCTCTGTCTGTGGAAGGGTCAGGGGTCAAAGCTGCCACCAGGGACCCTGACAGTTGCCCAAGAGCCAAGAGTTCCGTGTCCTGCTTCCCACCCAAGCCCAGACCCAGCAGAACAGCTCACTAGCAGGCCAGGAGGTGGCTCAGGGGGTGTGGTTGCCTGGTGGAACAGGGCAGCAAGGCGGTCCAGGGACCCCAGCTCCACATCAGCATGGAAGGTGGCCAGGTCCAGGGACAGTTCTGAGTGGCAATGGCAGGCAACAGAGCGCCGGGACCGGCTCTAGTCAGGGGTAAGGGGAACAGGTTAGCAAGGGCTGTGAGGTGGTGGGGACAGGCAGGAGGCGCTTCCTCAGGCAAAAACAAAATCCTGAGGTTTCCCAATAGTAGGAAGGGCCATAGGAAGGGATGGAGGGGGACTGGAGTACGGGGTGGTTACCTTGGGGACCCGGCGCAGGGTCTGTGTGTGGCGCAGGTGGGCACAGGGCCGAGCTGAGGCTTGGGAGCCTGAGTGACTCGGGAAATTCAGGATCTGTGAGAGGACATGGAAGATGACCAGGGTCAGGCTGGCCCGTGATACCACCCAGTCTCCCAGGCCTTGCCTCTGCCCCTACCTCTGTGTACTCAGGCTCTGAGGTGGCTCTGGGCCACAGGCACTCCAGCACCTCCAGCTGCCCGAAATGCACTTCCGTGCTGCTTGTCCTCCGACTGCGACCTCTTGTCCGCAGTTCCCAAGACAGCTGCACGGCTGTGCCCGTTAGCCTGCAGGCAAAAACACAGTTTTAGCAATGGGCTTGAGGGGCTCCAGATGTTCCCTCTGGGTCCGTCTTGGGCTGTGGTGTGTACCGGACGTGGCTACAAGGGCAGGCACTCTGGAAGCGTGGCCGAAGGTGGTGGAAGTCTCGGGAGCCGAAAGGCCCGTCTTTGGCAGCATCAAACTCAGCAAAAAAGTGGGTGGTGAGGTCAGGTGGTCCGGAAGATGGGGCAGCAGTCTGAAGCAAGGTCAGGGTCACACCTCCCAAGGTGATCTTCAGCAGGGAGTCAGGGCGCATGGTATCCAGAAAGGGAGTGGGAGCCATCTTGCCTGAGGGAACAGAGGTGTTACCAGGGGCTCCTAGGAGCTCAAGGGTACCCTAAGTGGACTGACGGTTTGCCACTGAGCTGGGGTTGGAGAAACCCTGGCTAAGCTAGACTGTGGGGGAGCATATCTCATCACACAGCTCTGGAAGGCGGCTTAATTTGTCAGGGGTGACACCAAATTTCTCCTGTATGCCAGGCCCTCTGACGAGGCTCAACCTAACTCTCTAAAGGTGCTAGAATGATCAACTGGTGTGATCAAGCACCCACACTTGCCTGACCCACACTTTCAACTACTAACCACAACATACAGTCTGATTTTACCATGCCCTTTCTGTATAAGGGGAAACTGAGTCCCAGAGAGTTCAAGTACCATGACCACACACTCAGAAATGAAGGCTGTGTATCCTTCACCATCAGCTTCCATTGAGTTAGGACCCCAGGAAAGCAAGCCATGGGTGTTGGGTCTGTGGTGGGTCTACTGATCGCTGAGGCCTCCTGCATATATCTGACGTCCCACTGTGCTGAGGTCCCTTTCACCCCATCTTGCTCCTGGAACAGTGCTTGGAACATGCCAACTTACCACCTGGGTGTGCTGGGGCAGAGGGCCTATGGGAGGGCGTGTTGCTGTGTACAGAGGCGCTCAGGTCTACCCCAGACAGGGAGAGCTCAGAGACAGCTGAGGTTACGCTGCTTGTGAGACCAGCCATAGGGAAGAAGAGGTCTGGGGGTGAGGGAGAGGCAGTCAGGGACAGAGGGGCTGGGTCCCAGGCTCTTGCACTCATACAAGCTGCCTTTCCAATGTGCAAGGGCTTGGCACCCACCAGTGCTGTCCAAACTGAGGAGGGGGTTGGTGGGGGGTTGCGGGCTGAGGGGCTCAGCCACAGCTCCCGCCTGCAGCTGCTGGTTCAAGTCCTGCTCGATCAACCACAGGTCTTCAGCACCTAGTGGGCGGCTCTTGTTCAGCTTGTCAGTCAGGCCTTCTGAGTCTGTAGAGAGGACATTTCAGGCCAAGCTGGATGGTGATCCCTAGCCCACGCCAACCCCCACCCATACCCAGAAGCCTCACCTGCAAAGCTGACGGCGCTGAGGAGTTCTTGAAGCTGCTGGAGCTGTCTCGGGGTGAGGAGCAGGTGCAAGGCGCCCAGCTGTCCTGCCACCTCCAACTGAGGGCCAAGGGAACAGTCATGGAGCCCATACCTGCCTCCCAGTCCCTGAGGCAAACCCACCTGCCCACACCCTGGGGATACAGGATGCCAACTGTCACGCTAAACTAGTACTAATGAGCTGTAGGAAACTGGCAACAGCTCTTTGGGAGTCCCCATTTCTCTGGTTGCCAAGAAGGTAGTAGGCCCTTCCCCACTTTTCTTGTCTTTTGGGGACAGGGTCTCCCTGTAGCCCCAGCTGGCCTGGACTCACTATGTAGACCAGGATGGCCTCAGTCCCACAGAGATCTGCCTGCCTCTGCCTCCTAAGTGCTGGAATTAAAGGAGTGTGCTACCATCCCCGGCCTCCCCACTTTTTGAGACAGGCTGTTATTACTCAGTAGCCTAGGCTAGCCTTATTTTTCCAGGTTCCCAAATGAACCACCACAGAGCCCCTCCTCCTTCCAGCCTAGGGACCTACCTTGGGGCCTGGAAAGGCCTCATTTTGTTTTAGCTTCACCATCAACTCCATGTATCCTGAGCAGCTGCCAATCTGCAAGGGGGGCTTTGGGGGGTCCACCTGGGAGGTTGGGAGTTGTGAAGACAGAGTCAGAGATGGTCTGAGAGATGAGAGGAGGCCTAGGCACTCAATGTGGTGGACGGGGGATAATCAGTCAGCCTACCTGAGGGGGTAGCTCCTCGAAGTGCAGGCGGACCCCTGTTAGCTGCAGGAGCTTGTGCAGGAAGGCAGGCGGCTGGTGCACATCCACAGGTGGTGCCTGGCTTGGGTCTCGCACTGCTTCGTCACAGTATTCCAGTCTAGAGAATGAAGGATCAGCTCTTGGACAGATGCCCCCAGGCCAGGAACCCCGACTGAGCAGCCTGGCTTGGAGACTTAACCAGTCCTTGCTCCTTTGACCCTCAGTGTCTAACTTGGACCTTACCGCAAGTCATTTGTGGCCTGCATTGCCTGGCTCTAGGCACCACTGCAGGCTTCCCACACAGCGCACTTCCCCAATCTCATTACTGCCCAACCAGATCCTGTCCTGTCCTGCCACTTCCCAGGAGCCTGGTTAGGAGTGGGGGACAGGGGCATTTAGCTTCTCTCCTGCCCCTTTAGTCCAGCCCTACCTCTGCACATGGACCTCGACAGCCACACCACGCTCCTCATCACCCGTGGAGTGCTCCACTCTCACGACAGTGTCGAGGAAGGTCACCTTGATCCTCCGAAGCACTAGGGGGAGTGTCTAGGGTCAGATGGAGCAGCAAGAAGGGAGGCAAATTCCCATCTGGGCAGCAAGGTGGCCATGCTGCTGTTTAGGGGCCCTGTCCTGTGGACTGTGGAAGGCCCCGGGAGCTGACAGGGACCTGCTCACCAGTCTCGATGGTCTGAGCAAACATCTCCAGCCCCTCCAGGGGCTGTGGTGGCTCCGAAGGCTCAGGCAGGCCATCCCGCAGACACTCTTGAGCCAGCTGTAGGCTTGTGGTCATGCATGAGGCCCAGGTTTGAGAGTCAGCAGCCCCTGGCCCTGTGAAGATGAAGAGGGACTTGGGGTAGGCAGGCCTAGTTGGCTCCTGGGCACCGAGGGCCCACTCTCAGCACTTATCAACCACTGGCCTTGCCCTATCTGTACCTGGGCCCTGGCAGGGCTGCAGGGTGAGCTGGAGGCCTGATACCCGCACAGTGCAGTGGTCAGTGAGGAGTGCAGCCCAGGGTACAGCCACCTCGATGGAGCTCACAAAACCTTCCACCAGCTCCAGCGGCGACTCCATCGACCTCAGAACTTCGTTTACAGACTGGGAACAGGCAAGAGAAATGTCAGTCAGTTCACTGAAATGCCAAATACGGCTGGCCTGCCACCGCCATTCTGCTCAGCTGGGCCATCCCCCTTTATACTATGTATGAGGCCTTCCTCTGCCCATTCTGTTTCCTACTCCTGACCCTGGCCTGCCCCCTCCATTCTACCCTCAAAACGTACTCAACTCTTCAGGCCAGCTTAAAGGTCTCCTCTGTTCAGTTAGAAAAAACATTTAGTGTTGGGTACAATGGCATACATTTATTATCCCAGCACTCAGGAGGCAGAGTTAAGACAATTTTCAAAGTTCTATACCAGCCTGCTCTACATAGTGAGTTCCAAGACAGCGAAAGACCAAAAAAAAAAAAAAAATTTACTGTGGGGCTGAGGACATATGTAGCTTAGTTGACAGAGTTCCTACCTAACATCCATGAAGCCCTGGGCTCCCTCTCCAGCAGAGAGTAAAAATGGGTATGTTGGGATTCACCTGTAATACCATACTTAGGGAAGTAGAGGCAGGAGGATCAGGAACTCAAGGTCATCATCATCTACATATTGAACTAGAAAGCCAGCCTGGGCCACGTAAGAAAAAAAAAAAAATTTACTGAGCAACTTCCATGTGCTGCCTGGAGGCTGCATGGGTAGGCAAATAAACATCTTTACCCTGCAGCCTGGCTAGGTTGTAGCCAGGGACTCAGCATGCCAGGCTGAAAGCTGGGAGTGAACAGGCACCCAGGGAGGGATGAGCAGAGCCTGCACCTAACTCAGCAGGGCACACCAAGGATGGGTTAGCTGAAGACTGAAGAGGAGTCAGCCAGGAGGAATAGGCAGGCGGGTGGCTTGTTCCAGGCATGGGAACAGTGAAGGTTTAGGCAAGCAAAGAGTTCAAGGGTGTAATGTCCAGGTGAGGGGTTGAGCTGAGGCCAGATGGGCCCTCTGTGTCCCCGACTAGTGGTGGAGCTGCTTCCTCTCCTTAAGGCACAGGGCTCAGACCTTGATGGAAGTCTGTGCTGCGGCTGCAGCTCCAACGGCCTGGGGGCTCTTGAGTGTTCTGTCACCACAGATGCTTTGGGTGGTACCACCAGAGAGGGCCTTAGTAAATGCCTGCTGGGCCCGTGAATAAACAATCGGGCAGAGAAGACCACAGGGCTTGAGTACAAATTCCTCACCCATGGATGGAGAAACTGAGGCCTAACCAGAAGGTCACTCCAGGCATGATAAGGACTAAGACTGACGTCCAGGCCTTTCTCCCCACCTTAACTGAGGTGCATGTAGCCTCTTTGGGAGCCTTCAAGATGGGGGCTGTAGGGTGGGTTAGTGAGCTGTCTGTGCTGTCACAGATGAGAATGCAGTTAGTCCCATAGATTCCCCACGTTGGGGCAGGAGGGAAGGCTGGGGATGTTTTCTAGGACTAGAAGTGCAAAGGGGCAGCTCAGATGTACAGATGGACCTCTTTCAGGACAGCCTAAGAGGCTGAGGTCAGAAGTCAGAGAAGGTCTCCTTTCCCAGGCCACTAGGTAATACCACCAACTCAACAACCCACATTTGTTCTCAAAGCATGGTCCACCCTAGCTCTGTCCAATTGGAGCTGCAGACCCCAGAGCCAGGAAGAGAAGAGAAAGCCAGCTTCATACCGACGCTGGAGCTGCAAGGATGACCCAGTATCAGCCCTAAACTGGTGCCTCTAATTGGTGGCTCCTTGGCTACTCCCCAGTCATCTGAAGTGTGAGTCAGGGGCCCCACACCTGCCATCCCCAGACTCACAACCCTGACCCATACCCTAAGACACCTGGCCTCCCAAGCATCTCTCAGAGTCTCACCCCCAACTCCCAATGCCAGATTTCCACAACTTTCCAGGAGGGCTACCCTCCAGGTACCGATGCCAGATCCCAAGCCCCTCCCTAAACACAAGCTTAGACCATCCCACTTTCCCAAAAGCAGGAAGTAGGCAACACGAGGTGTTGATCAACACAGAAGGCTCTGACTTGGTTGTTGACATCCATATCCGGAGGTGATCCCCACCCACCGAGCCCAGGATCATTGGGGTCAGGAGGTCAGGACACCTTGTCTACATGTGCCCCTGGTAAGGTTGTGAAGCTCCCAACAGCCTTTCCTGACTAGGGGCCCCAGCTCCAACTCTGTCACTGCCCAGGTCTGGCTCCCCACCACCCCAGGACTCCTGTTCCTCAGCTTCCTCCTGCCCTCTCCTAAACTCCCTGAATTCGTCTTCCTTGATCAGCCCCCCAACTCCATATATTTGGCTGGCATTCTCTAGACAAGCGACACCCCTCTTCCAAGTCTGTCCCCACCCTGGCCCCCGAGAAGCGAATACAGGGACCCCTTTTCGAGCTTCTGGCCCTAGTTAAGAAGAGAAGCGACCATCGGGGGTGCCAGGGCGCCAGGAGATGGTCAGACCCAGTGGCCCCTCCAAACAGTGTCTGCCTCTCCAGCCCGGCCGTGGTTCCGCCCTACGCACCATCCCGAGGCTCGGCCATGTCTCTCACCCAGGTCTCCAAGTGGATATCCCGTAGGGCAACGCTGCCCTTGTACAGATCGAGGCTGAGCTGGTCTAGGCTGAGGTGTTCCTGAAAAAAGTGACCCAAGTAGTGGTGTAGCAAGTAGCGGCAGACGCGTTCCTTCACACAGTTCGACCATGGCCACAGCCATCGTGACATCTCGGAGACCGCCGGGCCGGAGCTGCCTCCCGGCGATCTCCGTCGGGCTGCGCTGTTCACTAGAGCCCCGGGCTCACCCGGCCGTTTCCCTCAGCGCCAGGCCGCGCCCCCGGACTCTAGCCACACCCCCACACTCGCTGTCATTGGTCGCTGCAAAGGGCGAGGCCTGCTGATTGGCTATAGGGGGCGGAGCCTTGGTGGAGTGAAAAAGGGACCTGGCTCCTCGCGTGATAAAGTGCGCGCAATCGCTGTTTACGCCTGCGCAGAAGGACTGTGTGGGAGGACCTTTAACCTCTTTGCTACAGGCTGGGGGAAGGCTGATAGGGCCATTGCCAGCCCTGCGGAAGAATGCGCATGTACGGACTCGTCCGCCCCCCCCACCCCGGAAATTGGGAAAAATTTAAAGGGACAGTAACCCACAAAACTTTGTAGCCGTTTCTCAAGAGAAGTCAAGTCCCTGCAGTTCAGCAGTCTGCAAGTCTGCATCTCAGAAACAAGTGAATACACCTTTTTTTCTTTTTTAAAGACAGGGTCTCACTATGTAGCCCTGGCTGGCCTGGAACTAGCTAAGTAGACCAGGCTGGCCTTGATCTCACAGAGAGTGCTGGGATTAAAGGAGTGTACCACCACACCAGGCCTCAGGCTAACATTTTCTACAACGTTTTTACCTTTTATCTCATTCCACTTTATTACCTCTGTAAGGAGAGATTATTGTCCTCACTTTAAGGGTTAGAAAACAGGGTTATAAAGCTTGCCTGAGGAAGGCTCAGCAGGACATTAATGGACCCTCCTCTGTTCTTCAGTGGCCCTTTTCTGGAATAGTATCTTTTCATAACTCTAATCCTAAAATCAATAAAGAGTGATTCACCCTCCCTCAAACTGGGATCCATTGTTTTGTACAGCCTGTAAGATAAGAATGGCTTTGAAGGGTTTTTTTTTTTTTTTTTTTCCCATTGCTTTTCGAGACGGGGTCCCTCTGTGACACATAGAACACACTATGTAGACCAGGTTGGCCTCAAACTTGTGGCAATCCTGCCTCAACCTTCCGTGGGCTTATATGTTTTTAAATGATTGGGGGTAATCAAAGGGAGAACATTTCACACAAAATCACACAAAATTCTTGTCAGTGTCCATGCAGTTTTAGTTGGTCACGGCCATCGGCCATGTTCACTTGTTAAATACAGCCTATGGTTGCTTTCTTGCTAGAGTGGTAGAGCTGAGGAACTGAGGCAGAGGCCTGCAAAAACTAAAACATTTATTTTCTGACTCCAGAAAAAGGTTGTCCACCTCTGTTCTATAGGGCTGGCCACCAAGCCTTTTCCATCATGGGAGGCACAGGCTATCTATGAGAATTATGATTCTATTTTAGCTTTGCTAGGTAGCTGGACTCTATTTCAGTCTAATGTCAAAAGCCAGCTTGAACAAGTTGCATGTGGTAAACCCTTGTCTCAAAAGGGAAATTGGGACTAGGGCTGCAGATGCAGCTCAGTTAGTAGAGTGCTTGCCTGGCAGGCATGAAGCCCTCCCTGGGTTCAATTCCAGCACAGCATAAATTGAGTGTGATAGTGCATGCCCATGATCCCAGCTCTTGGGAGAAGGATGCAAGAGGATCAGAAGTTCAAGGCCTCCTCCCCTACACATCCAGTTCTAGGCTAGTCTGGGCCATGGGGAAACCCTGTCTCAACAACAAACCAACCAACCAACCAGCTTAAAGCTTGGGTAACAAACCATCCAGGTCCAGGGATGGGGACCTGTCTTTCTCCCATCTCTTGCAAACCTCAGGCAAGGTGTCTTAGCTTGGGCTAGTCTTCAAATGCAGCTAAAGTGATCCTTGAACTCCCAATCCAGCAGTCAGGTATCCTGTAGTCACCTACCTTGTGTGTTGGGAGGGCAGGCATGCACCACCATGCTGGGCATGAGGTTCTGTTTTATTTATTTATCATTTGTTGGGGTTTTGGGGCAGTGCTGGAGATTGAACCCAGGGCCTTGTACATAGTAAGCAAACACTCTTCCACTGAGCTGCATATCCCCCTTCCCCCCCAGCCTCTTTTTCAAATTCACAACTTCCATCTTTACATAAGAATAGTAGGCAGGGCAGTTGTTAGGTAGTAGAGACTGAGGAACTGCCTCCAAGAGAATTCAGGAAATTTCTGGAAGGTCCTTTCAGAGAGACAGATCGATATGATGGCCATTCAGAAAATGTGAAATTAATCCAGAGCTCTGGTTGTCCTTGATAGGCCTCAGCGGTCCCATGTTTATTAAATGTATATTAAATTAATAATAGTAATAGCTGGGCAAAATTAGGGCTGGAGACTTAGCTCAGTTGATAGAGTGCTTGCTTAGAATGCATGAAGCTCTGAGCTTGAGCCCCAGTACTTTATAATCTGGGCTTGGGGGTAGTAATTTGTAATCTCCCGGCACTGGGGAGGTAGAGGCAGGAGAATTAGGAATTCAATCAAGGTTATTCTGTGTTACATAGCAAGGTTGAGGCCAGTCTGAGCTACTTGAGACTTTCTCTCAAAAAAAAAATCAGCTAATATTAATACAGCAGGTATAGTAGACCATACATGTAATCCCAGCAATTGGGAGATAGAAACAGGATTGCTGCAGCTTGAGACCAGCCTGGGTTAGTTGCAAATTTAAGACCAGCCTGGGTTACAGAGTGAAACCCTGTTTTAAAAATTCAAACATACTCACTGGGCATGGTGGCACTCCCCAGCACTTGGGAGGCAGAGGCAGCCAGAGATTTGTGCGTTTGAGGCCAGCCTGGTCTACATAGTGAGTTCCAGGCCAGCTGGGGTTACAGGGAGACCCTGTCTCAAAAAGACAAAAAAAAAAAATTCAAATGTGGCTGGGCACGATGGCACACACCTTTGATCCCAGCACTCTGGAGGCTGACTCAGGCAGATCTCTGAGATCCAGGCTAGCCTGGTCTACAAAGCAAGGTCTAGGCCAACAGGGGCCGTGTGTGTGTGTGTGTGTGTGTGTGTGTGTGTGTGTGTGTGTGAAGCATGACTGGAGCTCACTGAGCTCACGTGATGTCCTCAGCCCTGGCTTATCACTTTCTATGCCTCACTCCTCCTCATGAGCCCATCAGGAGGCTCTATTAACATTTCCACTTTGTGGGAGGAAACTGAAACTATGTGGTCATGTGCCTGGGCAGCAAGCGAGCGAGTGGACAAGCCCCATTCCCTTCCAAAGGCAGCAGGAGGTTAAGAGTGTTTCTCCCAAGATTGGCAAAGGGTCGGGTATAGGGTAGATGTTCCCATGTTGTGGGAATAGGGCGCACCGTGTGCAAAGCACGAGAATATGTGGTCACTCCCTGTCTCCCTGCAGTGTATCCCAGAGTGGTCACTGTCGCATCTGTCTCTCACTTTTTAAAATTTTATTATTTATTTTTATTTTTTCAAGTCTGTAAAGTTTATCGCATGGTGTAGGGGGAGGGGGAGGATCATGAGAGGGAAGTGGCAGCAAAGCTAGAAAAACTCCTGTCACTTTAACATCACTTCTGCCCCTGCAGAAGGACAGCCTTCCCTGGCCAGATCTCTCTCTCTCTTTTTTTTGTCTTTTTGAGACAGGGTCTCCCTGTAGCCCCAGCTGTCCTGGAACTCACTATGTAGACCAGGCTGGCCCTGAACTCACAAAGATCTACCTGCCTCTGCTTTCCAAGTGCTGGGATTAAAGGCATGCACCACCATGCCCGGCTTCTCTCTCTCTTTTTTTAAAAAAATATTTTTATTATTTTTATTTTATGTGTATGAGTATTATGCCTGCATGTACGTAAGTGCACCTGTGTCATGCAGTGTCCACGAAGAATAGAAGAGGGTATCAGATCCCCTGGAACTGGACAAACAGTTGGTAGCAGTCATGTGGGTGCTGGGATTCGAACCCAGGTCTTCTGCAAGAACATCCCGTGCTCTTAACTGCTGAGCCATCTCTTCAGCCCCACTCAGCTACTTTTCTTACATAGCTCAGGCCCACCTGCCCAGAGATGACACAGTCCCATAGAGGGCTGGATCCTCATATACCAGTTAGTAGTCAAGTAAATGCCCCAGCCTCTGCCTCCTGAGTGCTGAGATTAAAGGCATGTGCCACCACGCCTGGCCCCTTCTCTCTTTTTAAAAAACATAGGTGTGCCTCTTCTCTACATCCACAGCATTATCCAGCTCACTAATCTGACACTTCTTATACATTAGAAGTTCCCTGTGCCACATGGCAACTAACAACTGTCTGTAACTCCAGTTCCAGGGGATCCAATGGCCTCTTCTGTCCTCCGTAGGCATTGCACAACATTGGTGCACTCACCTACATGTAGGCAGTACACTCATACACATAAAATAAAAATAATGAAAAGTTTATTTTATGTGTATGAGTATACTGCCTTTGCCTGCATGTGTGTAAGTACTCCTGTGTCATGCAATGGCTGAGGAGGTCAGAAGAGTGTGTTGGATTCCCCTAGAACTGGAGTTACAGGCAGTTGTTAGCTGCCATGTGGGTGCTGAGAATCGTTCTCAGGTTCTTTGCAAGAGCAGTTAGTGCTCTTAACCACTGAGTCATCTCTCCAGCCCCACATCTGTCTCTTAAGGGTTAGTGCCTGTGACTCAATTCCAGAGCCTGATTCACAGTGCAATGTGTGTGTGTGTGTGTGTGTGTGTGTGTGTTTTAATTTTATTTTATGTGAGTGAGTGTATTGCCTGCATGTGTGTAAATACATCCCTATTGTGCAGTTTCCTGCAGAGATCAGACGAGGGTGTTGGATCCCCTGGAACTAGAGTTATGGATGGTTGTTAGCTACCAAGTGGAGTGCTGGGAATCAAACCTGGGTCCTCTACAAGAGCAGCTAGTGCTCTTAAGGGCTAATCCATCTCTCCAGCCCCAGCAATGTGTGTTTTAGTAGAGCATTAGGCTTGAGAGGAGACACACAGGTCCTCTATCAAACACAGTCATCCCCAACCAAGCTCAGGTGCCAGGTACCTTAATGAATGGATGTAAAATACCAGCAGAATCAAGGGGACAGCCCTCTGTTGGGAGGGAAAGTGGCACTAGGAACCATATCAAGGTGTTTCTGGGAAAGAGTGTCAGGCCCTGCTTCCTGTCTTACAGTCA